CCAACCAAATTCTTGTGAGGTGGAAGAGGGACCAACTTCCATGTCTTCTGTTTAACTAGGGCGGACATTTCCTCCTGCATAGCATCCCTCAACGCAGCAGACTTGGCAGCAGCTGTGTAAGACTGTGGCTCTTTGATAGACGAAGGGAGAACCTGAGCAACAAGAACCTTCTTCTTGAAAATACCAGATTTAGATCTAGTTTGCATCGGATGTGTATTAAGCTGAGAAACACCAACATGTTGTAGTTCTGGAACTTGAGATATGGAGACATCAGGATGCAGATCAGAACCAACCAATGACTGTGGAACGATATCCACAGATGAAGAACTCGGAGCAGGAACAAGATCACCAGGTGTTGGAAGGGAGGACTGAGTAACAGGACGAGATGGAGAGGTTTCGAAGGAAGGAACATTAAAAGAATGCAGAAAAGTATTAAGATGTGTAACTGGAGGGGATGACACAGGTGATGATAAGGGAGATGAATGCACTACAATCTTGGGAAAAACATCCTCATCAAAGACAACATGCCGAGAAACTATAAACTTGTGATCCTGAAGAGCATAGCAAATATACCCTTTATATTGAGCAGCATACCCTAGAAAGATGCACTGTGTAGTTTTGGGGGCTAACTTATTGGGTCTATAGGGTTTTAAAGTGGGGTAGCAAGCACACCCAAACACCCGTAGATGATCAAGACGAGGTGGAGAATGATACAACATCTCAAAAGGAGACTGCATTTGTAAAACAGAAGTGGGCATGCGATTGATTAGATAAGTGGCTGTGGCACAGGCATGAAACCAAAATTTGGAAGGAAGAGAGGCTGTTTGAAGTAAAGTAAGTGCAGTTTCTACAATGTGTCTATTCTTACACTTAGCCAACCCATTCTGCTCAGGAGTGTATGGACAAGACATTTGATGCAAAATACCTGTGGTTTTGAGGAATTTTTGAAAAAGAGACCCAACAAACTCTCCACCACCATCACTTTGTAACACTTTTATAGAAGCAGAGAAGAAAGTTTGAATAAAAGCATGAAATTGAATGAAGATTGCACAAACTGCAGCTTTATTCATCATTGGAAAAATCCACACATACCGTGTACATTCATCTATAAACGACACATAGTACCTATGACCTTCTATTGACATGACTGGTGCAGGTCCCCACACATCTGTGTGAATGACTTCAAAGGGTACAGTAGACTTGGCTGCTAGGGAAGGAAATGGCAATTTGGTAAACTTGCCTTGTAAGCAAGGAATACATGTTTGAGGTATGGAATTACAAGGAAATGAAATAGCTGACTTTCTAAGAGCTAATTGAACTACAGAGTTGGTGGGATGACCCAATCTGCAATGCTACAGAGAAGCATTCACTTTCTGTCCAAGATAAGCTGCAGGATTGAAGTGTGGTTGTTTGAACAAAGGAAAGGGGTAAACAGCATTGTTACTCAGTCCTTGGAAGACCACCTTGTTGGTGACCTTGTCCTGTATACACACAGAAAACTCATCGACAATGCATCGACAATTATTATCTTTGCATAACTGATACATGGAAAGTAAATGTTGAGATAACCGTGGGACATATAAGACTTTGTTTAACTGAAGCATATTAGAATTAGTGGGAAGACATGATTGTCCAATGTGAGATATGAATAAACCTTCACCATTAGCTCCAGTAACAGTTTCATTGGATGGATATGGTGTGGCAGCTTGCAGGTTCGAAATATCAGAAGTCATATGATTGGTAGCACCCGAGTCAAGCAACCAGTACTCTTGTTGTGGGATAGAAGGTAAGGAAGTAGTCCGAGCAGGAAAAGCCACTGGAGATGAAGCTGGTTGAGCCACAGAAGGATTAGGTATGTATTGAGGAGGCAGATGCTGAACTGGTAAACCAGGAGCCTGAAACTGTGAAGAATACATGGGCTGAGACAAAGCATTAGGACTGCCCCTATCAAAGCATGTTGCTGCAATGTGACCAACCCAATTACAGATTTGACAACCACGTTGAAAACAATGGAGGGCAGAGTGACCCTTTTTGTCACAAATCTGACACAGAAGCATAGGATTATAAGGCGGCACTGATGACATTGGAGTGTTGAAAGTCTGAAAATTAGACTGAGACTGAGACTGAGACCCTTGAAAACCAGAATGAAACTTCTTCCCCTTGCCTTTATACTTGAAATTATTCCCCCTGAAGTTATTGTATGTACCAGATCCTGTTTGAGAGACAAATGCATATGGTCCTGAAAAAGGTAACTGCTGAAACTGTGAGTACTGAGGTGGTGGACTCAGTTGTGGGGAAGAGAACAGTGGAGCAAAGTTAGACATCTGAACCCCGGGCACCATTTGAGGCATTTGAGGACCTGGAAGAAACTGCTGAACTCCTTGAACCATTGGAGGACCTGGAGGAAACTGACATGAGGATGAAGATTTGACACCAGATGATCCACCTAATTCATACATAGAACCAGAACCATGAGCATACATGGCAGTCATCAGTGGCTGTTTAAAAACTTCCTCAAGGGTTGCTTCTTCAGCTTTTAACTGAGATCGTAGCTCTTTCAAAGAAACTAGATTTTCTCTGCCTCTAATAACCGCCTTAATAGTGTTATATTCAGGAGGTAAACCTCGAAGAGCAACAATCACAATGTCTTCATCGGAAATAACTACACCCACAGCAGCGAGCTGATCCCTGCAATCTTTGATCCTTTGAAGATAAAGATCAACAGATTCTGCCCCTTTCTTAATGTTCTGTAAATCAATTTTCATCTGCACAATGTTTGTTCTAGTCCTACTAGAGAATCTCTCCTTCAAATTATCCCACATCTCCTTGGAATTTTGACACCCAATCACACAAGACAACGCAGCAGTAGACAAGGTTGCAGTGATAAGCGTCATTAATGCTTTGTTATGAATTTTCCAAACTTTGAAAGCATCAGTGACAGAAGAAGTATCAACCACATTGCCATCAACAGTTTCAATGATATTGTGCTTTGCAGGACAAGGTATAGAATCATCAAGAAAGCCCATAATACCATTGCCCTCTAAAAGCAACTCAATTTGGAAGTTCCAAGTAACATAGTTAGCATCATCTAACTTGACAGTCACAGTATTACCAACACTAGGTATCAACGAAGATATAGGCGATTGAGTGAGAGCTAATTGAGCAGCAGTCACCATAGCGAAGAAATCAACAAATCGTAACAAACAATATCCTTCAACAATCCACAAGCAATCAACCGACACACCAACAGCTCCGCAAGAAAGCAACAATCGACAAGAATCAACAACTGATCAACACTTCAAATCACAGCCAGATCTACGAAAAAGACGAACAACAAGAAGCAAGAGAGCAGAAAACGAGACAAATACCGTTCACCACCACGACAAGTTGCCACTGGACCCAGAAATCCCCAAAATCTAGGGTTTGAGTAACCAACAATCGGCAACCAGAGAACTCCGACGACGACAACGAGCTCCAACCAGAGACCTCCGACGACGACCAAACAACAGAACTCCACCGATCACTGTAACAAAGGAAAGCGGAAGCAGCAGTCACCAAGATCGTCAGACGACGGCGTTAGCCATTGTCGGCGATGATACCATGATAACAACCCTAATATATGTAATACAGAGAAACACTAGAGACGAAACGTATCAAAGAGAGAGAACAAACTTAGAGAGAGAAAGATGAGGGAAATTTTCTGTTTTTCATTACTTTGCAACTGTGACCGACCTCACTTATAAATACAGCACACATATAACTAACTCTGCAGTCCTCCAATACAATTGTTACACGTGTATATATATCCTAACAAAACTATATTTCATCCAATTAATCTTGAACCCCAGTATATATAATTGAATCCTCAAATTGAGGGAGGGATGAGATTCCATAAAAATAGCAATAAATTAATGAATATTATTGAGTGCATTTTTTTTTTTACATAGAAATGGATTTAAAAGAATTTATAAAATACTTAAATTAAGAATATACCTGGAATATAAAGTTTAATTAAAAGTAAAAGCACGTTAATCAAAAGTTGAAAAGTAACAGATGTTTAATTTAGAAAAATCTAAAATGAGGCATTTAATTCTAATTTATCCTAATTGTTATTTGACTTAGCTGCTCTTAGAAGTAACCTAAGTTTTAGCCTTTAAACTACTGTACTGTTTATTCATTCATACAACAAAAGTTGAGACATTGTGTTTGTTTCTTTATATTAAATTTTAAGTCTATTTCTTGATATAGTAGTTTGAATAGTTACTAGTCTATTTTGTTAGGACAATGTATTTATTATAAGTAGCATGAGATTTTAAGTTCGATTTTTACGAATGACGAATTTTGACGTTTAATTATGTGTAATTGTCTAGCCCATATATCCATATTGTATAAAAAAAATTGTAGTTCAAAATATAGGGCTTTTAAACTAAAATGGTTTCTAAGATTGATATAACTCCTCATTTTGGTTCCTGAGATTTAAAATCGATAGCACTTGCCTCTACGTTTGTTTACCATCAATCATTTTGATCGTTTTGTGAAAAATATTCATTAAATAAGGAGAAAATAACAAAAATACCCTTAATTTTTGTCAACTCATTTTAGCCTATTGTTAAGTAAATTGAGGGTAATTTTTGTCATTTTGGTTTCTTATTTAACTGTGTTTTTTTTAACTGAACGACAAAAATGATTGATGGTGGACAAACTCAATAAGTACTTCTATTAATTTCAAATCTTAGAAACCAAAGTAAGGAGTTATACCAATTTCATAGACCATTTTAGATAAAAGGCCGGACAAATTTTGATGTTAAAAATTCACGAGAAATTAAACTGTGTGAAGATGAGATGCATAAAAAAACATCTAAGAAAAAAATCGAAAAAAAAGGGAAATGAGATGGGCTAAAAGAAGGGTAATAGGGTTGAGGGAAGCTGTTGGGCTGGGGCTCGGGTTAAGACCCATTACGCAATGCGGGTCGCGGGCTTTTCGCTGCAAACTGAAAATACGAAGCCGCGAAGAACAGATGAAGTTAGCAGAAAACTCAACACTCGAAGAAGAAGATTGAGAACTGAGGAGGTATGTGGGCGGCAACGGTCTGCTTCCCATGTTATGCATACCCGAAACGAACTTCTCTCTCAAATCGTACGGTCGACAAACCATTGAACCTCAGAGTCAGAGCTTCGTTCTTCGATTATCCTCTCGCAAGCAAAATCTTGGTTAAAAGTATGGATTTTTATGTTTACTTCATACAATTACTGTGAATTCGGTTGATTTTCCATTTGGGTTTTCTTCATTCTGTGAATTGTGGTAAATTTTGGTGTAATTTATGCAGTGGAGTAGCTCTTGTTCTGAGTTTTTACTGTTTTATCATCTGGGTTTTCTTACAGTTTAATTTTTTATGTAGTTTATGCTGTATTTTATTGATTTATCATTTAATTTTTGACATAATTTCTCTACTCAATTGTGTTTGGGCGGTTTTGTATTGTTATCATTTGATTGGAAATGTATTAGCTTGTGAACATACATTGAGTACAGTTTATTTGGATTGAGGTTAGCAGCACACACTCGAATTCGATTCGATGATTCAAATGGAATGAGTGTAGGTTAACAGTTGGCACAACTCGAGTTTAAGATGAGTGTGAAGATTATAAGGGAGTAGTTTAAGACTGATACAAAGAGAAATTCCAGGGTGACTAATTTCATTGTCGTGGTTCAATATTTTTAAGAGCAAATGGGATGAGAAGAGTTTATTGTTTAAAAGAGGAAGTGAGGTGGTGGTCCATTTTGCCTATTCCTGTACATGTGAAGTTTAGTAGGCACCGGCAAAGCCGCAAAAGTAAAATGATACGGCTAACAGAGGTTGTTCATCTGTGTTTCAGATTCAGACAATAGCAACACTAGCTAGGCTGATAGTTAACAAGGTAGCATTGAGAGTAATGGATGGACAATCTTTGGAACATTGTTAATGCCTAAGCCGTGGATCTGTAGAATATGATTAGGTTTACTTAAGCTGCTTCTAGGTGCGGAATTACTTGGTTCTCCATCCAAAGTAAGCTCACTACAAGCAGAGATTGGCTTGGCACTAACTAAATATCTCACTTGTGTTTTTTGCAATCATGGCTTGGAATGAAATTTTACTATTTGCAGTTGTAGTCAACAATTTTAAGAGCAAGGAGTTGGTAGCAGCTGTAGCAATTTCTTCACTGAGGCCTCAGATCCTTGAACTTTATCATATATTCTAAGTTTATAGCCTTTTTATGTACCATAGTATAGGTTTGTAGCAACAGCTATAGCGAGTTAGCACTTCACAAAGATAATACCAGATACCGAAGATCCCCAAAAATGTAAAGATACTTTGCAATTTGTCTTTAACTGTCCAAGTTCTAACTGTACTGTTTTGAGCTGCAGATATACCATATTCCACCAGTGAAAATAGTTTGCAGCGGAAATTTTCCAGTTTCGGCCAGATAGCTGAAGGTACATGTCTTGTAGTCTTGACAATTCTAGATGATTATCGAAAAGGCATTAGTCATTTCATTAGGTCCGATCCATTATTTTTTGCCATACATTTATCAACGTCATGTAACTGTATTTGGTATTTACTATGTCTGCCAGTTAAACTAGTCAAGGATGAATCCTCAAGGAAATCCAAGGGGTTTGCATTTATTCAATATACTAATCAAGACGATGCCATGCTTGCCCTGGAAAATAGGGATAGCCAGGTTCTAACCTCACCATTTTTCCCATGCCTTTTTCCCACGAAATTTTACTCCTGGTGACTCATTTGCTGTTTTGTAACTATCAGAATCTTGACGGCAGGATCATCTACGTAGAGCTTGCTAGACCCGGGAAAGATGCTTATGGAGAATCCCCGAGAACCTCTGGTCCCCCAAAGAAGCAGAATTTGCCGCAGCAGGAGGAAGTTTCGGACTGCTGGTACTGATAGAAAACAGCACCATACACTAGAATGTGAATATTGGATGCAGAGGTAGATTTTGCTCCTGCAACTATTAGCAGCCCGGCCGAGTGTCATCACTGTGTATGTGTAAGTAGTGTCTGGTTAGAGCATTTGTAATTGAAAAGTCTAGAATGTCTTTTCGATACGAATGAGATATTGTATTGTTACGATATAAACGACAATGAATCTTATTTCAATAACTTCTTGTACATAGACTGAGATTGTCCACTGTATGTTGAATTTCTCATCGATGGTCAAGTGATGATCTATTAAGGATCCGAACCCAATTAAGCGTTGTTTGTCACAAACATGCTCATGTAAACAATTGACGTTAGCATTTTCTATAAACTGGTTGCGGTTAACGTAACTCTAACACAACTTCGAACTCAAGAAAATGCTTGACTGGTTTAAACGTATTCTATTGGGTTGGGGAAGAATTTTGAGTTTTCTTCGTGTTGAATTTCCCATCAAATTTAGCCATTTTGAACATGAATAATATTTTATTCAGTTACCAACCCACTAGCAGGTGGAAGTTGTACTGGACACCATTATTTTTTCTGCATTTTGTCCATAATTTGAAGTCAATTGGTATCAAACATAATATAGAGAAGAAATGGCTTTTTTTTAATTTTTTTAATTTTTTAATTGCATTATTATTAAAGGAAAGGAAGGTTCAAAACTATTATAATAGTTCAAGAAAGGGAAAGTTTCAAAACGAAATCGATGAGTAGAAGCCCATCACTCTATCTGCAAGGATATTAGACACATGCACAAAAAATTTATTTAAAATAGTATTTAATATAAAAAGAAAAACCAGGAGGTCCTAGTTTTGATACTTTGTAAGATGTGAATCTGCTTGATTGTCGATGCGACGCGAGTAGGATACAATTCCCAACTAACCTCCTTCGAGTTCGGAAGGGATGAATAACTGTGGTTCACTACTAGTTGTCTCCCTTTTTTTTTTTTTTTTTTTAAAAAAAAGGAACAAGAAAAAGAAAATTTCACATGACCAATTGGTCTAGCAGCAAATTTTTTTCATTGTGACCAGAACATTGGTGTTACACCACGTGTTTTTATATTAATGGTGGGAATTTTACTTTTTAAGTTATTAAATTTTTAGCACACATATCCAGCATTTGTATAATTACACGTGGTGTACCACTCTGTGTTTCGGTCACATTGAAAAATCTCGTCTAACAGCATTGAGTCTTCATTTTATTACATACTAGCAGAGAGCACACACTTTGTGTGCGTGTACAATTTCTATTTTGTCCTCCTTATAGCAATATTGTGTATCAAAAGTGAGGGTAAAATTGAAAAAATAAGCATATGATTGTCATTTCCTGGAGAAAAAAAAAAGGAAAACTAGGAAAAATAAGGATATGATTGTCATTATGTCAAAAGGTACAAAATTACTATTTGCTCTCCTTTTTGTCAATAGTGAGTATCAAAAGTGAGAGCAAAATAGGAAAAAAAAAATTGACAATGAGGGTTCTCTTAATAGTATAGATATAGATTAAATATTAGAGAAATCCTAAAGACACTCTCTCAAAAATGAGGCTGTGACTCTCCTTAACATTTCTCTAAATATTAAGTTGTGACATATTATCTCCTCTTTTGAGTGGATTAAGCGATTAACGGCCGAAAAAACAGTATTAACTGATTTTTGGATGCAGGGATAACCGTTAAGACAACAACATGTCAACAACGTTAGTGGACGGATACAGATAACCAACTGTCATAGTTAAGCCCGAACTCTTGAAAAGAAACCAGCGTACAAGGGTATTTGTATGTTAACTACAAAACTCACAAGTGGTGTGGTCCTTGACAGAGAGAGAGGGGGAGAGAGAGAGAGAGAGAGAGAGAGAGAGAATGCGAGAGGGAGAGGCTGTGAAGCTCTCTATTTCATATGACCAATTGGTCTAGCAGCAGAAATTTTTTATTGTGATTGGAACATGAGTGGTACACCACGTGTTTTTATATAAGTGGTGAGAATTTTACTTTTTAAGTTATTAACATTTTAGTACACATATCTCATCATTTGTATAATTACATGTGTATCACTCTGTGTTCCAATCACACTGAAAATTCTCTTGTTAGCATCTTCACTTTTTTACATATTAAATATTAGAGAAATCCTAAAGACACTCTTTCAAAAGTGAGGCTGTGACTCTCCTTAACATTTCTCTAAATATTAAGTTGTGACATATTATCTCCTCTTTTGAGTGGATTAAGTGATTAACAGCCGAAAAAACAGTATTAACTAATTTTTGGATGCTGGAATAGTCATTAAGACAACAACATGTCAACAACGTTAACGGACGGATACAGATAACCAACTATCATAGTTAAGCCCGAACTCTTGGAGAGAAACCAGCGTATAAGGTTATTTGTACGTTAACTACAAAACTCCCAAGTGGTGTGGTCCTTGAGAGAGAGAGAGAATGCGAGTGGGAGAGGCTGTGAAGCTCTCTATTTCATATGACCAATTGGTCTAGCAGCAGAAATTTTTTATTGTGATTGGAACATGGGTGGTACATCACGTGTTTTTATATAAGTGGTGGGAATTTTACTTTTTAAGTTATTAACATTTTAGTACACGTATCTCATCATTTGTATAGTTACATGTGTATCACTCTGTGTTCCAATCACACTGAAAATTCTCTTGTTAGCGTCTTCACTTTTTTACATATTAAATATTAGAGAAATCCTAAATACACCCTCTCAAAGTGAGGTTATGAGTCTCCTTAACATTTCTCTAACTGTTAAGTTGTGAAATATTATCTCTTCTTATGGATAGATTAACGGCCGATAAACAGTACTAACTGATTTTTGGACGTAGGGATAACCGTTAAGACAACAACAACGTTAGCGGACTCTTGAAGAGAAACCAGCGTACAAGGGTATTTGTACGTTAACTACAAAACTCCAAGTGGTGTGGTCCTTGAGAGAGAGAGAGGCTGTGAAGCTCTCTATTTCTGCGAGGGAACCACTTTAGCAAAAAACCCAAAGAATTTGCAGTTGAGAGAGACAAAGAGTGATGGAGGAAGAGAAGCAGCAGAGTGTTGAGGAGGAGGAGCGTCCAGTGAGAGTCTATGCAGACGGCATTTATGATCTCTTTCACTTCGGCCATGCCCGTTCTCTCGAGCAAGCCAAGAAGCTGTAACTCTCTCTCTCCAGAATTGAACTGGTTTCATATTTTCAGTGAAATTACATGCTTTTTCTTGGATCTCAAGCAATTTCCCTGTCAAGACTTGAAATTGTTTCTGGGTTTAACTGGATGTTTACTGTCTTGAAGATTGGTTAAGGAACATTTTTGAATTAATTCTCTCTTTGCTTATGTCTGCCTTGGAATTCGAATTCGAGGCCAAAAAGTTTCTTTCTTTGTTCTTTTGTTACTGTTAGTAGTAAATTTCTAAATTTGATAAGTTGGATGAAGTGTGATTTGGGTTTGGATTGTTTCGTTTATGTCTAAAATCTAGGTTTCCGAACACGTACCTGCTTGTTGGCTGCTGTGGTGATGAAATTACACACAGTTATAAGGGAAAAACTGTTATGACTGAGAAGGAGCGCTATGAATCGCTCCGCCATTGCAGGTTAGTTTATCAATTTGCCTAAAGTTTTTCACTTTGTTAGGTTAAGCTAAACACAGCGAAGGGTCAGATGGAAAGTACTTGTTAATCTTCTGCTTATTGCTGTTAAAACCATTTTATGATTGCTTTGCATCTAACCAAAAACGTAAATTCGTATTGTTGAAAACCGTACTTTGCATCGTCACTCTCAGTTACCTACTTTACATTTCTCAATTGTTGTTCCTGAAGCATGGTGTTGTAATATATATGCTACAGATGGGTGGATGAAGTTATCCCCGACGCACCATGGGTGCTCTCGCAAGAGTTTCTTGACAAGCACAAGATTGACTTTGTGGCACATGACTCTCTTCCGTAAAGTTAACCAACCCCAAATTAATTACGATTTGCAATATTTCTGTATCATCAATCTGATGCTTCTTCTCTGTCCTAAATGTGTAGCTATGCTGATGCCAGTGGCTCTGGAAAGGATGTCTATGAGTTTGTAAGTTCTGTTGATAAACGAACCTACGTGTTTATTTCCCATTCAGAACATTGTGGCCTTCTCTTTTTCCTTTTTGTATCTGTCAAGGTTTTAATTGTTCTCTGTAGACTGTCATGATATAACCACTTAATGTCGAGTAGACTCTGGGTGGCGATAGGAATAACACTTACTGTCTTATATGCCCTGTTTGCTTCTAATTCTTGCTGTTAGGTTTTTGCTATTCATTTATATCCTCTTCTTCTAATTCCTAGTCTTATCTGTCATCTTGCTTTGTTTCAGCTACTTATGCAGTTGTTTATCAGTAGTTGACTAGTGTGGATGCTTCCAGCGTGTTAACTTTTGTAGTAGTTCTTATTCTGTCGATATGGTTATTCATCATTCTTGATTTTCATATATGGCATGTTTTATTTTGTAATTGACATAAACTGCCGCACAGGTTAAGTCCGTTGGTAAGTTTAAGGAAACAAAGCGAACTGATGGGATCTCTACATCAGATCTCATAATGAGGATAGTTAAAGATTACAACCAGTATGTGATGCGTAATTTGGACCGCGGGTACACGAGAAAGGATCTTGGTGTTAGCTATGTGAGGGTGAGTTCTTGTTTATATGAATATCTCATGTTCATGTGATGGCTTGCTTTTTTGTTCTGGTGCAAAAAGTGATATCCGTCATCCTTATTTCTCACTATTAGGAAAAGCGACTGAGAGTGAACATGGGACTGAAAAGATTGCGTGAAAGGGTCAAGGAGCACCAAGAAAAAGTAGGAGAGAAGGTATTTATTCCATGATGCTTAATAATATTTCTTACCTTTTCATTTGCATCATTGACTGGAGTGTCTGAGATTGTAATCCAGCAGGCTTCAGTACCCCATACAGTTCCATTATATAACGTACGCGTTACATGGTTACAAAACCACAACTTACACCATATATGTAGTAACACGCTTCAATACCCTGTACTTTTTGTCTTGCCATCAGTTTGGAATTTCCTTTCATAACTGCATCATCGGTGTTTCATATACTAAATAGATTGGGTTGCATATATTTTGAAAACAATGCATGAGAGAGACCAACCATTTGTTAAGTCCAAAAAGAATCGGATACATGTATTGCCTTTTTGGGCTAGCCTCTCCGAGGGTACCTTCCTGCACTTTTACTTATGGCCTCACTCTGTTTGCAATTTATGCTGCATACTTTTGCAATTAGAACATGTTTTTATCTTCTTAACGGACTATTGGACTTTGACATCTCTAATCTTATTTGCTTCTGGCATCATTTTTTGTTTTCACATATTTGTTGATTATTTCCTTATGTTTGCACTCAGCTAGAGTGAACCTGCATTTTAGAAAACCTTTAGGTTTAGAAATACCAACGAGACTCAACCTGCGGACTTTAGTTCCCTGATAATATTGACAATCTTGGTTTTGCTGGGCCCTTATTTTTCATGCACTAGTAAGAGCACTTAGAGCTGCAGTAAACGTGTTTGGCTTAGGATTTTCTAGTCATAAGTCGATTGATATTTTACTCTGATGTGAATGTGCAGATACAAATAGTAACACAAACTGCCACAATGCGTCGTAATGAATGGGTGGAGAATGCTGACCGGCTGGTTGCTGGATTTCTTGAGAGGTTTGAAGAAGGTTTCCATAAAATGGTGGGCTCTCTTTCCCTTATCTCAGTTTGTTACACCGCTTGTGTTTGTATGCATGAGCTGATTCGAACATAATCAGGGAAGATTTATCTCATTTTCTTGACTTGAAAACTTGTCATGGTCTTCTATCAGGGAACAGCCATAAGGGACCGAATTCAAAAGCGAATAAGGAAGCAGCAGTTCAGAGGGCTTTTATATGAAGAAGAAGATGATGAATTCTATGATGACTCTGAAGAAGAAAACGAGGATGAAGACGAGAACTGAAGTGGCTTCTGTTGTTGTCAATTAGGAGCTGAAATACTTGTCCATTGTATTAATGTAGAACTAACTAAGAAGTCGATAGCATTAGATTCCTTGATTATATGACTTCAGTTTGTGAAACAGCCAAAATCAAGGCTTGGATTTTCAAACTCAATTATAATATTCTGTCATTTTCGTTTCGGTAGGTGCTTGTTTGATGTAGTTTACACAAAATCTTTATGAAGATCACACATTTCTGCAAAGTCGTTCGAGTTTCCACAAATTAACAACTTTTCATTTTTCAGTTTCTTGTTTCGGAATCTCTCACATCAGATGAGGGTGTTGCCACCATCACTACATAGGAAGCTTTTTACAGAATCCACCCACCAAAACCAAATGCTGGAAAGGTTTCCTTGCAAGTTTAGCAGAACGAAACTGGGACATGCCTTTTTCTTTTCTTTCTTCAGCATTCCTCTCACCTCATTGAGTCTATCACATGGGGAATAAAGTGCAATGGCTTTGTCCTTGAGAGCTGAGAAATTTTAGTGCTGGTGGCTTCCATTACAGCAAGTTTTAGATAGTATTTTAACACCATATCAAGAGACACACATGTGCTACATGGTTATTAAACGAGATGGAATGACTTTAAAGTTATTTGGAAGATTCATGATTAATAAAATAAAATCATATTAAAATCAATTGTTTTTTTATTTACCAACGGTTGTTAGTTCATGTTATTTGAACTTAGAACATCTTTCAATAAGATGGAGACTGAGTGTCAACAAACCAAATAATCGTTGACATTGTACTTCAAACATAATTTATCTTCCACAAATAATTTGAAGCTCAGTTGATTAAAATCATATAACCACTGTACTCGAGCTCCTGATTTAAATTTTTTTTCTTCCTCAATATCACTTGTACAAAAGAGCAATTAACATTGATCTAATCGAGTAACTTTTAACTGTGTTGCACAACAGGAAAAAAAGATAAGGAAAACTAATGAAAAAAGTTTGAAAACTTTGAGCTTTAATAATAAGGACAAAATAAAGGGTAAAGTGAATAGGACCAGGTTTGACTTTTTAGTGTAAAAATATGATTTTTCGTTAAAAGTGAACAATACCGTGAACTTTTCGTTAAAACTCTAAAAAAGATACGCTGGAATCTGGACAAAGATTTGAAGGTCCCAAAAGTAAGCTTGGATAAGTGTGAGTTGTAATTTTCATGTCTTTCAAAAGTATTGGTCCGCATTCACCCTGAAAAGAGAGCGGACATTGTTTTTATTATTTAAAGTCAATTAATAAGTTCATGTTCTACGGTTTACACACACACATATGAAATATGGCAATAGCAAAACTAGAACATTTAATAATATAGTTTGCATACTACAAAACTCAAAACTCCTCCATTCTCAACTCCATGAGGAAAGAATGAACTCATAAAATAGGTTAAATAGGAAGAGAAACTAGTAAAACCAGATACTAATATCGAACCCTAATACAAACTCATGAGTTTCTGCAGTCATATCCACTCAACTAAGCTCATGACTTCTCTGTATTGAGTCTCTTAGGTTGTGACAATCTCAGAAAGAGAGGGCATGGAGTCACTGGACTTGAGCCTATGCCGGCAAGTCGGACACGAAGAGTGGCAGAGCAACCACTTGTCAATGCAGGCAACATGAAACCGATGGTTGCACTTGGGCAGCGCCCTTAACTTGTCCCCATCACAAAAATCTGCCAAACAGATAGCGCAGCCTGAAGACGATGAAGATGGAGAAGTAGTACCTGAATCAGCGTAAGTTGAAGTAGGCAAAGCCACCATTTCCTTCTTCTTTAGGCCTGAATTAAGCCGGCGTGAAGCTACCCATTGGACCGGTTCAGTGAGGGTGCGATTCGTGCATTGAAAAACACAGTGTAACATGGAATTGAGACCAAGAGCACACACAAGGGCACAAAAGATTGCTGCCAAGATGACCATAAAGTTGAGATGATGAGTGAGTTGGAATTGATCATGATTAGGGTCTTGGTCACAAAGTGTTCTTATTGAGATGGGACTGGGAATTGGAGGAGGGGGTGTTTGAGCCATAGAGATAAATACGAAGACTGAAGTGGTGGAGAAAATTGTAAACTTACGAGAGTAGTAGTGGGAAGATGGAGATGCAAGTTTATTTAGTGGAGAGAAGGGGCATGAACATAGTTTTGGTAGTACGTGCTGAAGGGGAACGTAAATTTGAGGGCAAATGGAAAGAAGAGGCTAAGGCTTAGTTAATGTAGGTGTGGAGAGCAATGTGATTTAGGACATACGAAAAATACTTGGCTTGTTGAAAAAGTTCTTTTATTAGACAAATTAGATTTGACATGTATACATAAAGTTTTTTGTTGTGACCTTAAAACATATATGTATAAGATTGTGATTTGCGATTAAAGCAAATATAACTCCTAATATTGAAGAAGCCAAACGTTGTTTTATAAGAAAAATAACCCTTAATTAAGAGGACTTGCATGACATAGGTTCACCGTTACATAGCTTCTCATGCCCATAACACAAAAACATGTATTAACTTTTTTACATATTTTCTTCTATAATTAGTACATACATTATTGTGACGGTAAACCTGTGTCATACAAGTTGTTCTCCTCAATTAATAGAGCGTGGGGAGGGTAAGGTGATGGATGAGGAAAACGGTGGCATGTTTGGATATGCTTGCTTGGCAATCCACTGTCTTCTTCTCTTTTGTTTAATGCGCTTCAAACTATACCAATTCCTATTGGTTGCTTGTTTCCCACCAACTTGCAAGTAGTGGACAACACGTAATTTTGGAAATGTAAATTCACTCTACTAAAGACCCCAAACAATTGGATATGATTAGACCAATCTCCTTCTAACTTCTTGGCAAAATCTGAATGAACTACCTATGAATCTTTTCCTGTGGTCTTTGATTGAATTAATGCAATATTCTTCTTTGATAAAAGATCTGATATGTAAAAATGAAAATTCAATAAAATACCGAGTTGTGTCATTATAATAGGACGTATTAAACTCGTTGCATATATTATCGTCAATCCCATTTCAACAATTCATATACAACTTTGAGCGATACAGTAAAAGTATTTTCTTTTCTTTTCTTAATTGATTTATGTATAGGATTCCATTCTCCTGCCAAAAACCCTACATAATGGAGAGAGAGAGAGAGAGAGTTGGAGAAGTGACAAACCCCTATGCTTTTCATTTCAAAACAAATAAACCTAAAAAAGATATATTTTTTGTGAAAGAATTTTTTGCCGTACAAAAAATAGTATTTGTGCTATTATGTGAGTCAAATTTGAAACAACATTTGACTAAATGAAGATAACTACCATTAAATCAATGTTAATTGATTGGAGATACCGGACCTTTTTGAATGAGCTTGACTTAAGTTGAGTCACAATTGAAGTAGAATTCCAAGTCTTCCGACCGAGTTGATTGCATAACGTGTTTCTTGTAATTATTAGATGAATTGTGAAAAAAAGCCACTATTGACAGCATTTCTTATATATATATATATATATATTTTTTTTTTTTTTTGTTTTTTTAGTATATCAATAATTTTACACTAGGAGGAGAGGAAGTTTGGATAAGCCACACAATGGGCAACCTAATTTGGTGTCGAATTCGCCATCCACGATATTCAAACCTAAGACCTCTTACTTCTAAGTGAAGAGAAATACTATTAGACCGTAGTACTGAATGATAACATTTCTTATATTAGATACAGACATTTCCTAAATAAAGGTTGAAGTGACTAAAATAACACAGCTGCGCGCGTGCAAAGAGTAGCACCAACACAGTCATCAGTATCTTAAGCGTAAAGAAATCGCACAATAAGTATGCTCAATTTGGTGTAATTGGAAAAGAATATACTTTTGTTGTTTTCTGATTAATGCCTGATCTTTGTTTCTGTAGTTTGGGGCTCCCAATTCGGAATTAACTTAGCTCCTGAATGAATGAGAGGAGTTCCTCTTAAGATGCATTATTATCAATTAACATGATTTTGTGTTTATGATCAAAACTCTTCATATTATAATTCATTTTGAAAAACCATATTTGCACAAAATCGATAAGATATGAGATCGTTTAGTCATTCAACTGTATAAAAACAAATAGTCTAATATTGTAAAAGTATTATGAACCGTCTATTTATTTCCTACAATTCATGGACTAAATGATCTTATTTTAAATTGACTTTTGCAGAGATGATCTTTATAGAGTAATTTATAGTATAAACAGTTCTAATTATAAAGACGAAGTTTTGTAAATCTGTTACAAAATATATCGAGGAGGAACTCCTCCTCATTCTTAAGGGAATTGGATCCTCTCCTGAGCAAGAGATCATGATCTTCCTGATCCACTAACATGGGCCGTTGGATTTTGATCCAACAACTACAAATAGGGGGTCCCTCTAAAAGTTATAATAATTATAACCGTTGGATCAAAATCTAACGATCCGTGTTAGTGAGTTAGAATGATCCTGATCTCCTGCTCAAAAGAGGATCCAATTCCATTCTGAAGGAGTCAAGCTTTCCTCTCCCAAGTCCTTTTCCCAACTTCTAGAAATGTATCATTTAAAAATGTTTTTATCTTTTCTAATTTAGTATGTCTTTTTCGTTTATAGTATTCTAATTAGGGTAGCTGCCTTGGTAATTCAGCCAATCTTGACAATTAACCGGTCAAGGAACTAGAGTAATCCAAGAAGGAGCATCGCAATGACTACTTCCCTTTACCTTTGACGTATATTTCTTCATTTGAATTAGGGTTGTATCACAAATGATCCTTGAAATTAACCCCAACAATCAAGAAGATTCCTAAAATTGAAAATCAATCAATGTAGTTCCTGAAAATAGGTGTCGCAAATCAATGTGGTCTTTCCGTTACAATTTTATTAAAAATTCTGTTAAGTACTGATGTGTCATATAAATAGGCCTCATAAGTCATTTTTTTCTCACAAATGGTCATTGAAATTAACCTATGACATCAAAATGGTCCCTGAAATTGAAAGTTGAGTAATGTAGTCCTGCAAGTAAGTGTCTCAAATCAATGTAGTCATTCAATTACAATTCTGTAAAAAATTATATTATGTGCTAATATGACAATAAATGGGTCACATAAGTCTAAATAAATTTAAAAAATTACAAGTACGCTTAATAATTTAATAGTTAATAAAAAAATTGTCAACCCAAAAACCCAGTCCTGCAATCACCTTCGATCCCAGTCCACATTTCTCTACGTCATTCGCTCTCTATTCTCTATTAAAAAAATCTCAATACACCAATCTTTACACACTTCGACATCCTTCACCGAATTGAACCTAGATCGAGATCACCTTTGCCGACGTCTTGGCCCATTGACAATGACTTCTAGGACATTACCGTTAACATTTAGGTGATCAATATCTTCACAACCTTAATCTTGGAGAGCTTGTTCGGCACTTCCCTAGTGGTTTGGTGATGCAAAGAACGGTGAGGTTTGCCTTGAGATAATGAGGTTATAACCGAGGGGCGTCTATTGTTGGTTGAAAACTATTTCCTCACCCCCTCTTAGGCCTTGGTTAACCCTTGTGCCTTTGAGAATTTATGGAAGAGATCTCTCTTCGAAGTAGGCACTACTATAAATAAAAAAATAAATAAAATAAAATAATTCATTGTGCAAAAGGTATTTAGATAACTTTTTAAATTAATTATTAAACTCACATCAGCACAAAACAAATTTTTTTACTGAATTGTGGTAGAAAGATCATATTGATTTGCGACACCTATTTTCAAGGACTACATTGATTGATTTTCAATTTCAGGGACCATATTGATGGTGTGGGTTAATTTCAGCGACCATCTTGATGGTGTGGGTCAATTTTTAGGACCATCTGTGATAAAACGGATAAATCTTGTGGGACCCATTTATGTGCCACATTAGCACTTAATGGAATTTTTAACAGAATTGTGAATGAAGAACCACATTGATTGGCGACAACTATTTTCAAAGACTACATTGATTGATTTTTAATTTCAAAAACCATCTTGATAATGAGGGTCAATTTCAAGGACCATTTGTGATAAGAATTATGAGCTATACAACACCATAAACTTCGGTGATAAACACTACAAAATTTCAAAAATTTGAGAGTACTGATTAAATTTATGAAAAGTATTATTACAAGCAGTAAATGATTAAATTTATGCATCGAACTTCTGATCTTATTAGATATATTAATCTACTGGTGAACAACCAGAGAAACCACAGCATTTACAACCTTTTCACTCTCCACAACCACCGCATTGTTTGAGATATTTGTCACAGCATGTGCTGTAAACTTGGTGTCCCCTTTTGTATAAAACGAGTACTGAAAATCACTAATCCTGTTGGGAAAGACCAACACAGATGAAAAATCAGCCGTCCATTTCGTCCCATTGCCCTCCACATTCAACCTTCCCACCGTTGATTTCAAGCTCATCCCATTCACATTGTTCTGATCAATCACCACCTGATCAATATCCCCGAATTGTCCCTCTAACTGGACCATAGGAACTTGTGAGCCTCCCCCTGTAAACATATTGTTTACAATATTTAATCCAAATATTTTTCCATTGACAGATTTCAACACTATATTTGCACCACCTAAGAAGAATCCATTTGTGACATGTACTTGCACCGGATCTTCCATAACTATTGCATTATAATCCAAGTAGCAATTATCCAATCTGGTTTGTGAATTTCCTGATAATTTTACCAAAATGCCTATGCCTCCAAACCCTGTGGCCTTATTGTAACAATGTACACCAGTGACCATGTTAGCCTGGCCCCTCAGAACAACACCAATAGCAGCTGAGAATACTACCACGTCAGTTATGGCATTGTCATTGCTGGCTAGGTCAATGGCAGTCCCAGTAAATTGCCGCTCGCCGCTGTCACCACCAACCGTTGAGTGTTGCCCTAGGAAGGTGTTTGATATGTAGGTCTCATGGCCCTTTTGAACCAAAATGCCCTCTGTTGTGAAGTGGAGGAAGAAGCAGTTGTTTATTCGGATTCGGGCTGAATCGACGATGAAAATGCCTCCTCCTCGGAAGCCCGAATCGAAGAGAACGTCTCGGAATGTGATGTCCTCGTAGTAGATTGCTTCATTGTTTTGGGCTTCATTTGTGAAATAATTATTAGCAATAGAGGATTTTTGTTTCTGTTTTTGGGAATTTTGTGACCATAGTTCAATGAGATGGCGGTCTCCAGGAAATGTGGATGAGGCACGAAGGGTT